TGTGTGTCATCTGTGTGTCTGAGTTAATGTGCTGTTTTATTTTTGTTTTATTTTTGCATGGAACCTTTTTATTTTATTTTAGTTATTTATTGTGATTTTATTCTGCCTATGTAAAGTACTTTGGTCAACTGGCTATTGTTTTTAAAGTGCTACATAAATAAAATTGATTTGATTTGACACATTGATATGCCTGTTCCCCTAAACAAAGATTAAACTTGGAGACACATAGCAGAGAGGTACATTCTCACAGGGAAGTAGGCCAGTGCATAGACACACACACACACACACACACACACACACACACACACACAGAGCACTCATTTCATAGACTGAATTTGAGCTGATCCAGCCTGCCTTGTGATGCTTTAAAAGAACAAGACAAAGGTTCATGCAATGGACCACCACTCACACAATCACAGCTTTCTTTTCCATGCACATACACACACTGCTCGAGCTCTGGGCGCTGTATCCCCGGTCGCCTATCGATTAGTCATGCCTGGCTGCTGTCATGTGCAGGAGTCCAGTGAAGCTCCTAATTGGCTAGTCTGGGAAAGAGAGAGAGAGTGGGAGAAAGCGAGATGGACAAACGGGCGGTACAGAAAGATGAGAGGGACTGGGGAAGAGAATTGTGCTTAGAGATGGCATTATCAAATCATAACAAACAGAACAAGACAAGATGACAGAAGAACGACAAAGAAAAGCATATTTAAGTTTCTGACCTTGATGTATTGTGAACTTGAATCTTTAACAAAAAACAGACCTAAGAACCTAATCTGAGTTCAGGTCTTTTATTGCTGTCTCTACTCTTCATTTGGAATATACGAACAGAACTACATCATCTACAGAGTGGCCAGTTCTTCAGTTTCAGAGGCGGAGTGCGCACCAACAAAGGTAGCTAATATGAGTTAATCTGAGTGACTGACCAGTGGACTGCAATGTAATCATAGAGTGAGAAAGAGAAATCTTCCATTGGAGCCCATTAACTGCCTCGCATCCTCTACAGAAACAGAGACACCCTGATAGAAAGCAGGACTGAAAGGAGGTGCAACTAACCAAAGTGGTCCTGCTGCTGCTTTTGGGGACAGTACCTTTTATCTGCCAACTGACCTTGTAGCTGTGAGCGATGGCGAGAGGGTCACTAATACTCCTGAGGGGAGGAAGACAAGAAGAGGAGTGTTAAATATCACATTAAAAGAAGACAAACTGGTGCCCTAATCCATGAGGGAGAAGAAATGGAAACGCCTTCAAAGGGATTGTTTTTGTCATTTTTTTTGATAGAAGTTTTACATACTGAGACTTTCCGGTATACAGCAAAGAGAGAACACGGGACACAGAGAAGGATTGGTTGTTCTGGAGAAGCATGACCTACATTATTTGGACACAAGTGATTCTAAGGAGCTACTCTGTTTTGTCATCTTTGTAAAGAAGACGAGATGTAGTAAATGTGGTATACAAAGAGAGAAGACAGCAAAGACAGAAGAACCCCTTTGTGACTCTTTATATATCTCTGTAGCTATGACCACTTACTTCCGGAGCCATGACTTTTGTTGCAGCCCCACAAAGCCCAGCAGTGGCTCCACTAAGGGAAAATCTGACAAAGGGAAGGCCAAGTCAGGCAAAAGCCACTTTCACTTGAAGCATAACCAGAATTTGCCAAATCACCAGCAACAACCATCACTGCTGCATTCACCAACGCACCATCCCCATTTGCAGAAACATGGCTGCGATTCGTCACAACATCTGCTTCCACCTTCCTCTCCTAGCTACTACCACATAGCACCACTGTCACTGAGTCATCAGCTGGCTCAGCCATCGCCAACGTACCAGCTGCCTTCACAATCACCAAATCATCGACTGCTCTCGCCAAGCCACCACCAGCTTTATCTGTCACCAAGTCATCCTCAGCCGCATTGTCATTCTCAACATCAACAACAGTACTATCCGCCAGCCTCGCCGAGCGGCCTGCTTTCTTCCCAGTCAACACGTCAGCTCTGCCACCAACAGCAGCAAATGCAGTTCCATTCACCTAGTCACCACTCATTGTTCCAGCAGTACCAACACCACAGCCACCACTCTCCTCGTCTCCCTCATGCCTCCCAGTCACTATCTATTCATCCTTTTCACTCACCACAGCTCCCCCTGTGTTCAGGGTTGGGGGCTTATGGGTGGAGCACGCTACCTACTAACCTAGCCACTGGGGGCTCTCAAGCAAAATTTCCCAGCCTGAAGGACAGCCTGAAGAAGAGTCCAACAGAGAGCAAAGCCAAGGGCAGGGCTGGGAGCAGGCCATGGCCCAGTGACACTTATATCTGGATTTCACACTCAAGGGAAACACCCCCACATGTACCACTTATACACAGCTTTCCACACCTACAGGCCCATGTGCAGGTAGGTTTGATGGGTTGGTAATAGATGGATCAATGGATGGATAGAGTTGATAGTGTGCTCAAACACAACATCAACCTCAACATCTAAAATGCTGCCATTATCTTTATCAGACTGTGCTTTACAGTGAAGCACTGACAAGCTAAAGTCCTCCAATGACCTAATCCACTGGGCTCTGAGCTGTTGATAAAATTGTGACATATTTATATCTTGTGCAGAGTGTGACTCTCTCTCTTTCTCTGAGGGATGCTGGAAGCAATTTTCTAAAACGTAGGAAACTAACAGAACTACAACCTGAGCATGTGGGTAAATTACAGGTTTACACCACAAAATGGTCTGCAGTTGAACATCGCAAAATGATGATCATATGAATGTACTGTAAGAGTGGTTACTTTAACTTCCCGATGATGTAATCAAAAGAGCACAGCCATCCATGTGTAACGAGACTTGTATATTGTATAAACTGTGTTATAGAGAGTCTAGGAAAAATTGCAGCATGCCAGCAGCTTGTTAGCTGTTGGTTGTGTGGTTAGAGTGCTGTACATCTGCCGTGGGCCCAGTAATCAGAGAGCAGGTAGTAATCATCTGATTAGCGTGATGTTCTGATTTAATTAGAGTCACGCTCAAATCAGCTCATTAGTCAGTGGAGTTTCATTACAAATTAAGAAGACAGAGCAAGCAGTGATATTAGGAGTGGATCATCTGTGTGTATGAGTCTTCACCTCTCATCACTGCCTCTTCCAAACTATAAGTAAACATTTAGATGCAGGAGTGTAGATCAAGTCACTTCACATGCTAGACAAATATTGCTTGGAATTAAGTCTTTAAATGTTGCAACATTGATGTGCAGCACTTGTCATTGTTCCCAATTTGATTTGTGACATTTGGGACTCTGTATGTGTGTAGTATGTTCTTGCATGTATGAGTGTGCGTCTGACATCGTATGGCACTATGGTACTTTTGCACTGCTGCACTGTATACTGTTGTGTTTACTTAAGTATTAATTTTGATAACATTCTGATTTCACTCTTGTCTGCAAGATCTCACAGCTTGAAAATATTTTCAGTGCTCAGTGACGTTGAAGGATTTCTCCCTCAGGCTGATTCTACTAAAAGTTAACAACATGAACCTGTTGTATTTACTGTTTTTTGAGTCAAGTTGCACAAAACTCAGAATAGTTCTGATAATAACTGATAACTACAATATTCATTTGTAACCTCCATTTGGAACTCTCTTTATTCCATTCAGTGACACACACACACACACACACACACACACACATCCTAACAGCTGCAACAGTCGGCATGCCCTCGGTGTCCATGAGCTGTATTGTCAGAGCCTCATTCTCTCTGAGCCTCTCTCCACATCTGTTGTCACTCTGTTGATATTTGTTCTTTGTAGTTGAGGGTTTGTGTGCGTCTGTCTGCACCTTCTGCTCCTCACTGCTGTTGTTGAGCTGGTAGATTTGACTCCTCCCATCATACATAATCCGCCCGATCCCCTCTCTCTTTCTGTTCCCATGTGGGATCAGACACCCAGTCAGCTTGACTGACAGACAGTTGGACATGTGGTGGAGAGAGAGACACACACAGAGTGAGATAATGTGTATATATATATGTGTGTGTGTGTGTGTGTGTGTGTGTGTGTGTGTGTGTGTGAGACAGAGAGATTCTGTGCACAATGATTCTGTGAAGTCAGGTCAGGATGGGCTGTCCATTTGGTTGGCTAGCTTGTGTGTTGCTTGGTTTGTTGGTTTGTTTGTGAACCTTTTTTCCAGCTGCAGAACAAACTCTTACATGGACTCAAGCTGCAGATGCTGAACTGGCGAGCAATAAATATTTTTTGTGGAGAATGTTAAATAAGGCAAGGGAAGAAATGAAGCCTGGAATGATAAGATGGGGCTGATGCTCGACCTGGAAATACAGAAAAACAGCTACCTTATGGTTGTTTATTAGCTAGTGTGAGGTTTGTCATTTGCTGTGCTTGCATAGGAAGCAAGTGGAAAGCAGTGGTCTCTCTGGGCCTGGACTCTAGAAGGAGGCCAGGGAGGAAGAGGAGACTGAGTTTAGAGTGGAATTACTTGGGAGAGAAGAAGGGAGGAGACAGCACTTGGGAGAGAAGGGCAGAAAGCAAATTTGGATTTATAGGAAAAAAAACTGATATATTCAGGATGTCATGTAATTTAGGACACTTAATGTGGTGAACATCCATTAGAATAGTGTAGTATTCAATAGAATAGAGACGATATCATATTTATTGTGATATAGTAATTTGTGGTGCAGTACTGAATTGCTAAGTCTTATGATACAGTAGCAGAGCTGCATTACAGTGGTGTTTGCAGTGTAGTACATTAGTACTTTTCAGTATAAGGGCTGTGCAGTATGCCATGCAGTGTATGCAGTCACTCCACAGTGGTAATCTGTAGCAGATGTACTCAACATGCTGTACCAAAATGTGAGACGAGTAAGTCACAATCACAGCTCTCTGTTTGTGTGCGCATAGTGTTTAAGATTCAAAGTACTGTATTCTTCAGCAGCCACACTTGTTGAAATACCACGTCTTTAATAATATGCTTCAAATTAAAAGTCTTTAATAATGCTGTTCTTTCTTTTCAGGCCAACCCCCCACCAGTGGTGGTCAACACAGACAGCGTCGACACCCCCCCATATGTGAGTACAGCGATGTGAGGTTTAAGCCTAATGTTTACACCTGCACACTATTCCACTCATATGATCTTACTGACCAGTTCTGGATATGAGCCAAATTTAATTTGTTAGTCTTTTGTTGAAGAGTTTCCTGAGAATAGGTGCGTGAGAATAAATCACGCAGATTCAAGATAATTATTATGTTAAACTTATCAATGGCTGTGTGTAAACCACTGACCAGTGATCCTGGACCAATCAGTGGCTGCAGCATCCTCAGGCTAATAGTGCTCTATAGGTAAATATGCAGGATGTAAAATAAAACATACTGAAAAGGTAATATGGAACAACATTTAGAATGAATCTTGTTCTCTATAAACAATGGGACAAATTGCTTTTTAGGTAATTTTACTGTCTAGTAAAAATATGCAGTAATATGAATAGTTCTGACCAATAAATGTGCACATGTGTCTGGTTTCAGACAGAAAGCTTAGTGCAGAATTAGATGGCTCCAGATGTCATTTTCCTGGTTGCCAGCTGCCACTGAGAATCAGTGTCTGTTGTTGTTAGATAAGTTTGTTATGTAATTACTGTGGAATTACTCCCCGCTGAACTGCCTGGAATAAAAAAGTGAGAAAAAGGCTTCTCTTGCACAGATTTAGCTTAATATTTCATTGTCATGGGCTTCTACTGTTATTCTCTTCCAGATGATGCATGTGACAGCTACAAAACAGAGTGGTTTACTTTAATTGCTGATGACTCTTTTGAATGCCAGTATTAGTTTTTTTTGCATTTGAAATGAGGCAAACATGGTACATCAACCAGTTTTTTAAAAAATTGTCTTTAGCCATTAATCAGTCCAGTCTAAATATATGATGGGTAATAGCAGAAGATTGTGCCCTCTATTTGAAAGGACAGAAATTTAAAATCTAAACTAATCTGACACAGATTACAGCCAAAGGGATTACACTGGCCACTGGGACACCACTTGACCACTGTGGTTTTGCGTGAGTGTGTTTGTGTGTGCATGCCTGCAGCTATAGCAGGAACAAGACACTCATCTCCCTGCATAACCCTAGTGGAACACAAAATGTTTAACTGTCTGCTCAGGTCAGATTTCACTATGTGTTCTTTTCATCCAGTAAACATTAATCTATTTGCTGGTATTGGCAGCAGTGTGATTGGCTCACTGGCAGTCCATGGAGGATGGTCTTGACGTCAGAGATACATCATCAGCTTATTCTTTGGGATTCATATGTCAGTCATAAAAAAATGTTTTATTTGACTTTTGTATTATTCTGTGTTTGTGGCATTTTGTATTCCTTGAATGAATGAATGGTTAGATAATCAGCTTGTACTTTGTGTTGGGACTGGAAAAGAAAACAGAGCAGCTGCTTCTGACGGCTGATAAATGTTCAAAAATATTACAATGACCGGTCTAGACTAGTCAGTGTGTGTACCCTTGAGCAATTTGATGAAAAATGTGTAATGGAAGGACAGTCCGTGCCAGCAGTGGCTCATGTGACACAGCATACACAGCAGAGAAACATTTTTTATCAATAAAACAGCAGTAAAATTGCACACTATGTTTTCTGTGAACCCAAGGTGATGATGTCAAATGTCTTGTTTTGTTCAACCAACAGTCTGAAACCCAAAGATACGCAATTTACTATAATTTACTATCACTATCCTGTAAGAAAAGGAAAAGCAATCAATTCTAACATTTGAGAAATTGAAACATTAAATAATAGTTTGAGTAATCAACTAATCGTTGCACCTCTACACTGAATGTTTTATTGTAAAATCAAATGAGCATTTTGGTATCCATTGTAGGAAGACAACCTTCAGTATTTAATCTCAGCTGACACACTTTTTCTTTCTTTCTTCTTTCTCTGTAACAGGTCAATGGAACAGAAGCAGACTATGAGTATGAGGAAATCACCCTGGAGCGGGTAAACACTTAACATCACACCACCAATGTCTGTGCCTTTGATACACAGTGTAGTCAGTCACGGGTCATCTCTGTCCTCCATGAAACCTTCTCTGGAATCACACTAAAAACATAACTGGTGCTATTGAGGGCATAAATTATGGTGCCTGCTTGTTTGTCTTAAACCAGAAATAAAATCCTTTGAGTTCAAGGCATAAACTAGCTAAGTTCATTAAAATTGATTTTAGTTTGTTCTCCATTGCTGCTGAAACACTGACATTTCCCCATTGAGGGATCAATAAAGTACCTACCTACCTACCTCATCTGCCTTATTTTAGTCATCAGTTACCTTTCTTCTTTCCTTAATTCAGCCCCACCGCTGGTCCCTCTCTGCTGACGCTATTTCCCCATCCTGTGTATTCCTTGTCCATCCTTCCCTGATCTTCCCTCCCCCTCTCTCATTATACTCCTCCTTCTGTCACCCGAGGCTCCTTCTCTGTCTCTCTCTTTCACTCTGTTCTCCTGTGACCTGGGTCTGTCTGCTTGGCTGGATTTGCTTTAAAGCCACTATGGACATAAATGTAAACATAGACATTGCAGTTGCTTTATACCCTATGACAGCACATGAGAGAGTGAAAGAAAGACACACAGAGCAGTGGCTGTCAACAGGTAATGTGTTCAATTTACAGAGGTGATCTATTATGTGTCATTTGGTAATATGAAAATTAGTTTGGTAAGTGAGGAGACATTAAATGTAGTTTTTCAGTGAATGACATTTAGATAATAGCATTTAGATAATAGCATTTAATGGATGTTTTTTTGGTGCTGAATGAGATTTGAAGAGTATGTGTAATGTAATAATGTTGGAATGATGTGGCATTTCAGCAACAGGGGGTTCTAATTTAATGAGTTATAAAATTACTCCAGTGTGGTTATTGGCTTCTTGAACAACCCACCTAAGTTTGTCTTGGTTATTTATTACTACAAAACATTTCATATACTGTATATATAAATACAGTATATACTATATAAAAACAAACTTTCACATTTATCTTAATACTTTTAGTGTCACAAGTTGTCTTTAGAAAACAGTTAGGATGCACAGATGATGTTTATTTCTTCCACTGAGACAAGTGTGTGTCTGTCTGTGTGTGTAGGGTAACTCAGGCCTCGGGTTCAGTATTGCAGGAGGAATTGATAACCCCCATATCGGAGAGGACCCTTCCATCTTCATCACCAAGATTATACCTGGAGGGGCCGCAGCACAGAATGGACGACTTAGGTACACAAACGCTTGTTTATGTTAACTCGAATTACTGCCTTACAATACTTACTAGTCAGCCTACTCATACCATAACTGCTCCCTAATCCTGACCTAATTCTTACCCTAAAAACCTCAGGCCTAAATTTAAAATGTTCAATCGTTTTGTGTCCAGGTTTGTCTGCAGATGAGAGACAGTCACATCCTCACAATAAGACTGTGTTAACAGATCTTGTCTCCACAATTACACCTTTACTAATCACAGTTGATTTTGTTACCTGCAACAATGCAGTAGTTACAGACTGAATACTTTGAAATTGACAGTAACATTTCACTGAACATATTAGCAAAACCTTGACGTGCAAACAGGATCAATCTTTTACCTTTTTTCCTAATTACTACAAAGAAAGTAGTTCAGTAATAAGTAATACAACTAAGAGAACTTGGTCTTCACCTTACTCTGACTCTGTTCCTCTGAAAAAGATCAGTTTCTCCTACGTCTAGTTGGAGCACAAACCTCTAACAGTTACTGTTCACTGTTTACCTCCTCACGCAAGTCACATGTCATCTATACTTTGTGCATCTTTGCTGTGCAGAGTGAATGATTGCATAATGCGGGTGAATGAGACAGATGTCAGAGAGGTGACCCACAGTGGGGCTGTGGAGGCGCTGAAGGAGGCAGGAGCACTGGTAAAGCTGTGTGTGCGACGCAGGAGGAGCCTCACTGAGAGAATCATGGATATCAAGCTGGTCAAGGGGCCTAAAGGTGAGAAAATAATACTGCTTATTTACTGTATACACACATCAAGGTCAATGAGTAGTAAAACTAACCTTTTTTTTTGTCTTGGCACTAGTCCAGCACATTTTGTTTGAAATAAAACGGTGACTGTGAGGTTTAAGTGCTGACTTTTAGCTTCAAGCCAATTTGAGTGTTCACATGCTTCAGCTCTCCAATGTATGACTGAGAGCATGGCAAGGAAACAAAACTCCAAAGTACGATGAGGCATAGTTTTCAGATTTTATGAGATGTCAGCATATTTAAGCAGCAAAGATACAGTGGCATGATTGAGCAGGAAAAAGACAAGAACAATAGAGCAATACAAAATATGAAATATATGACAACTTAATTGGATTTTGCTTGTATTTACTAACCTATAATTTTACTCTATCAAATAAAAATGTAACTGTCAGAGCTGGTGAAAGGGACCAATGGTGAGAACATGCAGCTCTGCAGTAAATAAAAATATATAACATTAAGAAGAGCTTCAAAAATATGATCTGGTATGTTTTTTCCCCCTCAGGTTTAGGATTTAGTATAGCGGGTGGAGTTGAGAACCAGCACATCCCTGGCGACAATAGCATCTATGTGACTAAAATCATTGAGGGAGGGGCTGCACATAAAGACGGACGGCTGCAGATAGGGGACAAACTTCTGGCTGTAAGAACCACCTTTTGTCTTTCTCGTATTTAATTATCTGCACTTCAACATGGTATCATGCTAAATATTATACAGTATAGTTAGATCTTCACATTAAAGTACATAGATTCTGGTTTACATCAAAATAAACTGCAAATGAAATGCATTATAGGACAAAAATGTGCTCAATCTACTCTCAGATTAAATGTGAATTCAGCTTTATTGGCCCCAAATAGTTCGTAAATATTCCTTAACATAATTAACGTGCAACTAACTGCTTTTGTTAAATTTGTATGTCATAAATATCACTTAGTAACACCAAATATTAAACTTAATCAACCATATTGGAGCCAGCTGTGTAATTACTCAGCACTGTTATGAGCAGATTTAGAATGACTTCTCCCTGTTTATGCTTGAGAACTGAGCACAAATATGATGACCTTTCCATTATGTTGGAATCCAAGACTAAATAGGCAGTATTAGAATATACAAGGGTGTGACTGTACCAGATTGTTTCTTTTCAGCTCTTCATCCCAGACAGTTAAAGATGATTTAACACAGAAGCAATATAAAACTAAATCACCATGGTTAGAGCTTCTTCTCCCTAAAATCAGTGTCCAGGTGTAGATAACACAGAAATAACCTGACAACAACCACAGAACTGCTTTATAGCATCCACATTGTATGTTTGTTCTGCAGTCCACTCCTGCTGTTGCGTTGCAGTGGACATTTGTGTTATCTCTGCGTATACAAGATGCATGCTTGTGCGTGTTAATACTGTGTGTCTTCACTATTCCTCAGGTAAATAGTTCCTGTTTGGAGGAAGTAACTCATGAGGAGGCAGTGGCTGCCCTGAAGTCAACTCCTGACGTTGTGTACCTCCGTGTGGCCAAACACACCTCCCTTTTTATCAACGACAGCTTCCCTCCTCCTGACGTTACTAACTGTGAGTACACACCAGAGGGCTCTCGATAACAGTGAAAACAAATGGTACGATTTTGCTCAGGTTCATTGCTTAACATGGCATCTTTCAGACTGAGTAGATTCTCTCTCTTCTTCACAACAGTGCTCTGGTAAATGTAACACACATCAATGCAGCCAAGAGGCCGAAGCATTTTAGGGCCAGATGGTGTTGAGCTATAACAGTCAGCATGGGACAAAGCTGTTGGTGGAGACTTTTGGTTAAAGTGGGTCTATAAGGAAGCTCACACTGACTATTATGCTTTTTGCAAAGATTTAATTGGGACATCATCAGCACACTAAGCTTGAGTTTTCATACCACCATCATTACAAGAAACAATTCAAGGCAACATGCTCTATATGAGTCTTATGAGTTTACAATATACTACAGAAGTGCCAGAGAAGGAAGCTGAAATCTGCTGTGAAAATCGTTGGGGTTAAAGCTGCATTAACTATTTTTTTTCGGCCACTACAGGGTACAGTGAGACTCAAAACAAACTGACACATAATGTTTCCTAGCAATGACAAATGCGGTCATTGGTCCAAAGCTACCATTATCTGACTAATGAGTCCCAGCTCTGGGCAGTCCTGTACAAGGCTAACAAAGCACTAACATTACACAAAGCTCAAATTACTCCCAAATTAAATTCATATCAATTCAACACAAAGGTAAAATCATGAGCAAGCTAAGTCATTAATGTTACCACAGCAAACACATTAGCTTTGCACGGAAATACTTACTGAAATACTATATTGCAGAGTACAAGACAAAGTCCCGCATGGGGACAAGAGTATATCTTATCTTACCTTAAGTAAATTAATTTAAAGATATTGAAGAGCAGCTCAGTCAGAGCAGAAGCTGACACAGATATCACAAAGCTGCACCCAAATTGTGTCATAATATCATTGTTGCAGCAGCATAGCATTAAGAGAAAAAGGTGCAGACACTTTTCAACATTTCCCTAACTGTGAAATCCTGTTAGAATGACATTTAGTACTCTAAGAGAAGTAGTGAATAGACCATGCCATAGATTTTCATGTCAGTGCTATGGACCACAAGGGACTCCTGAAGTAGTCCATGTGGTGTGGGACCATAAAATGTTATTACTCGACACATGTTGGATAATAAATATTTAATATCAGTTGACACTATACAAATTAAAACCCTGAATTTACCCGAGAGAGTTTAAACTGAGGATGTAGTGAAGGGCACGAGGGGACAAACTTGTGGCTTGTCATGCTTTGTCTCCAGTTTTGCTTTCTTTTCTGCCCATGCTTAGCACTGTGTTATTGAAGTGACTGCATCTTCTTTAAGATATTGTAGATTAGAAATAATTGACAGATAAATGTAAATGTAATTTAATTATAAATTTAATTGATATACAAACACTGCACAAGAACCGAAACATTTTCAATAGCATAAAGATGAAAATTCAAAATCAGATTGATGACCCAGGTTGTGCAATGTGCTCATGCATCACCCATTTTAATGAACAGTTCCAGTGTGTTAAAACCAGTTTAGGTTGGCTAGAAAAGTGATGTTATTGTTTAAAAAATATCTGGTAATGATCCAATCTCAGACAGTTTTAAATTTGTTATATATCAGTCTGATAATCAGACTGGGTTCATTGGATTACAGCCAGTTGTCACTGCTCCAAATTGGCATAATATCAAACAGCATGTTATTTATCACCGTTTCTGAACGTATCACATTAACAAACAACAAATATCACACCACTGTATCCCAGTATAGCTGCAGTATTGACTAACTGACTGAGGATATGAACTGCAGCTGAATGTGTGACAATCTGTTACTTAGGCATTTCAGATGAGATATTTACTGATTCATCAGAGCTAGCTGTGGAATAACAGTGTTTTTTAAGTGGGAATCATCTAGAAAGAATATGAAGATAGACATTTAGGCTTTCGTATGGCATCAGTGAAGTGGTTATGTATGGCAGTGTGGTACAATAAGAACAAAACTGTTTGTTTTTTAGCATACTCCTCTAATCAAGACAACCATATAAACCCCTACATGAGTGGCAGTCAGTCTGTAAGCCCCGCCCCACTGACTACGCCCAGATACTCACCGCAGCCCAGGGCCACGACCGGAGATGACGACATCCCCAGGTGAGTCCTCACACAAACAAAGCAATTATGGGACAGTACAAACAAATGTCTAGGTGCAGTAAGAGCAGCTACGCATAAGAAAACATTTCAGGCTGGTTTTATCAGTATCATTAAAAATGTTATGAAAGACAATTCAAGCATCTGTTGCATTGTTGAGGAGATTCTGTGAGAATTTGCAGCTTCTTGTTACATTTACTTGTTTATGAAATGAATGTAAAGCCAGCTGTTGACAAGATCAGAGATCTCTCTTGTTTTTTCGTTCCTATATTGCTTGTCTCATGATCCCCTGTGAGTGTTTTATTGGATTGCAAGTGGTCCTCAACAGCAGTTTGGGAGACAGGGTCCTAGACTGACCTCTGTTCTTCCCCGCTTGACATGCTGGTGTGTGTGTGTGGAGGTAAAAGGCAGATGAAAAATGGCCAGATGACCTGTGCCAGGTCACATATGTATACACACACACACACACACACACACACACACACAGAGAGAGATACTGTACACTCTCAGTGCTGCTCCACTGTCTTTAATCCATTTTAATGGACAGTGAAAGGACCTCAGGAACCACACAGCACCATAGGTCTGAGGCAAAAAAGCAAAAAAAAGGGATGAAGCTTACCCCACATCCCCCGGACTGCCCCTGCAGGCCCTGCGTTGAGGACCCTACTCGTTACCCCCTTTTCTAGGCTGGTTAGAATATGTTTTTCTCTTCCTCTTTTTTTTTTTTAAGCTGTCCCCAAAATTATCAAATGTTTTCCCCATAATGTTAAAACCAACAAATTGGAAATCGCATATCAGATATGTTCAGCACAAAATAGCAAAAAATATATCGATATTGGCATGGGTGAAATATATTTTGGATGGGAAAGCACTACGCATTTTGTATTCTTCATTGATTCTACCATACTTAGAGTATGGCGTTGAAGACTGGGGAAATACATACAAAAGCTCACTTCAACCATTGTATATATAACAAAAAAGAGCGATAAGAATTGTGCATAAGATAAGGTACAGGGATCACAGCAACGGAGCTTTCATACAGGCTAAATTGTTAAATTTTTTTGATTTAGTGGGATATAAGACTGCAGTGTTTATGTATAAAGCAGGAACAATTTATTACCTGGTGGAATTCAAAAACTATTTAATGAAAGGGAAGGGGGATACAATTTAAGGGGTCAGTTAAATTTAAAAATTCATGCTATACGTACAACCAAAAAAAGATTTTGTATTTCCATAAGTGGGGTAAAACTATGGAATAATTTAAGTGTAGACATAAAAAATAGTAATAAAATTGACGAGTTTAAACATAAATATAAAGGTATGTGTCAATCAAGATATATGCAAGAACAGGCTCAATGATTAACTACATGGACTATTGTGGGTGTGGTGTATGAATGTTAACACTTTGTAACAATTCTTTAGTATATTACTTGTGTGGTGTAGAAGATAATTATTTAAGAATGTAATTATGTAAGAATGTTAATACTGTTATAATTTTTTTAGTATAATACTTGTGTGGGTAGAAGTGAATCATTGACTGCTTGCAAAGCAATGATGGTAAGATGATGTCATGGGGTAGGACTGGATAAGTCTGACTTCTTCCTACTCCATTCAAGCATGTACTAGATATATGCAAATTGATATTGGATTATGTGTACAATCATGTGTGTTGTCATATCAACTGTCTTTACATGCTTGAAAGAATAAATCAAATCAAAAATCAAATCAAATCAAAAAAAGCGTAACATATAAAAAACGTAACCGCTAGAAAAACAAAATAAACAACAGACCTCTCACGTCCCCCCTCACACACACACAGGCATATTATATTTTAGCAGCATTGAGTGTGGTAACTGCTGTTGGGTAAAAACTATTCCTGAATCTAGTGGTCCTTGATGTGATTACTCTGAACCGTCTACCTGACGGCAGCAGTTCAAAGAGTGAACATCCAGGGTGTGAAGTGTCCTTAATGATGTTCTGGGCTTTTTGGGGGCAGTACTAATACTATACCAATAACTTTTTGTGACATGTGTAATGCTATAATGATTGTAACCTACAGTAAAAATAAATCATTTTTATGACATTCTAAAAGAAACTGTACTTATAAACAGAAATAGAAAAAGTCATTCTGCAAAATGGACATCAAATTCCCTTGATACATACAGTATGTAAGTTTATTAATAAATAGCCTGGTAAGTCAGTAACATGTATTCAGTCTCTATGTAATTACAGTGGGATAGTTTATGTGCTCTTCATGATTGTTTTCATCCAAAAAATGAAGCGAGGGTGCCATGATGGTCCAGTAGTTGCCTCACAGTACTATGAGCAGTTTTGTCTTAACTACATGCTTGTATATCTCGTGTGAACTTTCTCATGCGCTCTTGTTTCCTCCCACTGTTGAAAGACATTTGTGTTATGTTGATTTACTGAAGAATCATACTATTAATACAGATTAAATGAGTCAGAAGTTAGCAGTTGGTGGTGCGACTAAATTAAAAACAGTGTAATACTGACACCTGCTGGTCAGTGTGGTTAATAAGCCTAATGTTCAACCTCCTGTCCTCCTCACTACTCACTGTATTTTATGCCTTCAGAAATTTTAATATATACCCTGTACTAACTTCTACTGTATATACAGTTTCAGTATTTTAATATTTTCTTTTGTGGGTATATATAAGATATTCAGTTCCATAATTTTTCATCTTGTCTTCCGTCTTGTCATCTTTCACTGCTGAATATCAGAGAGACAGCAGCTACTTCATTCAGCAGTAGACCACTGTCTCTGAGGATGTCGTTTGTCCGACAGGCCACATGACTCTTCAACTCCTCCCAGTGAGGAGGTCTGACTTGACTTTTGGACATGAACATGTGATGTCACTACTCAGCTCCATATATTATAACCTCACTTCCCTGTGACACTATACTACTACACTGCACACTGTTTACCCATCTCTTTACCTTTGCACATAATGTATTGTACGCTGTATTGTACCCCCCTATGCATACTGTATACCTGGCACATGTTACTTGATATGTGTGTGTATATTGTATATGTTGACTTGATATGTTATTTTATAAGGGTATACCCTTATTTTTTACACTTATTTTTCATATATATAAAGTCTTACACTTTTATACATCAGCTTACACTGTGTGATTTGTATATCTTCTAGAGACCCCAGACGGGTGGTGCTCCAGCGAGGCTCTACAGGTCTTGGCTTCAACATCGTAGGAGGGGAGGATGGAGAGGGAATCTTCATCTCCTTCATTCTCACTGGAGGTCCAGCTGATCTCGGTGGGGAGCTACGAAAGGGAGACCGCCTCCTCTCGGTATGCGCTAAGTCAATTACAGATGTCTAACACAACTACTGTCACCATTATTAACCCCAGTTCTGCAGTTATTACTGTATAAATTATGCATGCTTATCAAGGGAGTCATTATGTCAGTTTACATGCTTTGTGCATCTGGCTCTGCACATTATTGATGTGGAGGCATACAGCTCAGAATAACTATGGAATTTTTGCTAAGGCTGAAACATGATCTACTGCAGCTTTGCATTCATTCACAGCATCTACAACAACCTGAATTCAAAGAGAGTTTTCAGGTATCTCTACCTCACAGGCGATGTGTGTATTAAAGTGAAGTATGACTTTAATTTTCTCCAGACAGGATTCAAACAGTATTGCGTCTTCAGACTCTAGAGACACTGTCAATCCCTGCAACAGTCACTTTGACTCTGTTATGTATTCATGTATGCAACAACTGACGGGAAATGATTCTATGCATAAAACAGGCCTTCACAAAGTACACACATAGAGTACTACACATGCACATACTCCACCTGACTGGTCATTGACCCAATAAGATGTACAGTGTTCCTAATGTAATGCTCATCTCATTTTAGATTTATTGCTATTGATATCTCAAAATAATTAAAAGTATGGCCTCTAATTTTCTGTATCCATGTCTGAGATCAGGTGAATGGGGTGGACCTGTCCGGCGCAACACATGAGCAGGCAGCTGCAGCTTTGAAGAACGCAGGACAGACCGTTACCATAGTAGCACAGTACAGACCAGAGGGTGAGTACTGCTGATAAACACAATACATTTCTATTCATCTTATGTATAGATGAATGCATGGGAAGATTGAAAGGAATGGCTTGAACTAGCAAACCTTAGGCCTAAATATAAGCTTTGTCTTCTGCTTCGCTTGGCGGAGAGGTCGGTGTTTCGATAAATACAACATGAGACAAAAATTGATGGAACTGACCTTTGGAGCACACTATGATGTGCAGACATGCTCCACTTCTTCATCTTTTGTAATTCACTTTTTGTAGTCACTGTATTGCTGCCACCTACAGTACAACTTGTGAAAAAGCCCCAACAATATAATAAAAAGTTGCAAACAAAACCATTGTGCTAATTTTGGGCAAAGAACCTAAGGAAGTTAACATTTATGCCATTTTAAATTCTGACCTTAATGATACGTTCATACGTATGAACTCAAAGTAGTTGGCTGAGTGTGGCCTTCCGTGAATCTCTAGTTCTGTAGTTTGCATGCCGTACTCCAGCTGGACAGCAGAATTCTCTGATAAATCAGCATACTACGCACTGCTACATATGTCATTATTCTTCTTTTTGTCCTGGTAGCTCTTTAAAGACATGTTGTAGAGAACTGGGAAGCTGCAGACTGCAACACTAAATTGTTACTCCATTTTGTATAAAATTCCTTCACATAGTAGTGAACAGCTAAGTGCTTTGGTTTCCACTGGAATTAAGATGATCATGATGGGCTCTTGCCTGGCTGTCATATGCATGCATCAGGGGATATTTGCATAACGTTTGGCAGTCCTCAACATTTCCCTGTAGTGTAGCTGGGCACTTTTTGGATCTATCAAGCCCCACAGGGTTTGCAGGGCTGTGAAGCCAGGTCTCATTCATAATGAATGGCAGCTGTTGCTGGCCCAGCCTTTTGAATCCATATGTGTGAACATACATGTAACTCTTAAACCTCTTAATATTTTCTCACTCTTTTTTAACCTTGGACAATTTGAAGGTCCAACCCAAATCGAGGAGCAGCCAAGATACCCTCACTGCCTAAAAATTAAATGGATCCTGACCAAGATAAACATACAAGCACATGTACACACACACTGAGAAGCTTCCCCAACAAACATCATCCTGGATGTTTGTCTGTTGGGAGTGATTCAGAAAGCTGTAGCCTAGGAAACCAGGTTATTCTCTAACTGCTGATTGGCTTAGCTAATGGGAGAATGTTATGGTGAGGGACCTGAATATAACAGATACTGTACACCAGCCCACACAAACACTCATGCACACAATTAAACAACATTAAGTTTCCCCAAGTCCCTGACTCACATCAGAAATGTGTCTACTGAAAGAGGTTGTGCAGGTGTGTCTTCCTGGTCTCCTCATGTAAATTTCAGTCAGACAGGTGGTCTACAACAGTGTTGTGGAGGCCAGACTATTATATAAATCACATGGTAACTTTCTGTTCTTAAAGTAATAGAAAATAAATTCTAACTAATTTCTCTCTCTGGACAAACATTTAATTCCCTTATAGATGCTTAGTAATTAAATTTGTTAATTGTGTTATTTTCAATTCTGGATAGTACACTCTGACTTTTTTTTTTTTTAATTTTTTGCCAATAAACTGCGTATACTATACTAAAGGATTCTTTAGAGGCCAGTAAATGAAACTGAAGTGTGTTTAAAAAGTCCTGTTCTGGTATGTGTTTGAATTAAGTTAATGTTGTAGAGGCCTTTGACACTACAGTCCTTTTTAATAACCATTCTTGAAACTTTGCAGTTCTCTTTTATTTATTTACTTGGTATGTACATGGTGTCCCTGGCTGTTGTCAGTCGTTATTGTTAAACAAAAAAAAATCTCTATGAACAACTGGCAGCGATTAGTTCTTAAGATTAGAATCTTTGCATGCCCAGATACTATTCATAGCACAACTGTCATTATGTGTGTCCACCTTAAGGTGGCAAAGATCAATTAGCTAAAACTTGTGTATAAAGGCTTTCTGGTTTTGTATGTAATGGCGTTCATGATACAATTTTCCATGCATGAAAAACACAGCAGTCATTCTGTGATAAAGATACTGAGTCTGCAGTTAAAATGTGAAAAATTAGAGGAGGCAGCAGAGAAATGCACTGGTGGACACTTTCAGAAAATGAAGGAAAAGGTGTCAGCAAAAACATTTGGAAAATACTTTAGCAGAATTGAACAGAGCTAGAACATTTGGTGGAAACCACTAGAGGAGAGTGAGCCAGAATATTACCTAGAGATGATGCACAGTAATCAGGCTTGAAGTGAATTCATGTGGATGAAAGGCTTCCCAGCCCTGATACCCCATCAAATAATGTGCAGGGCAAATGGATGTCAGCCCAACTCATATGGAAGAGAGCAAAATACATTAAGATGTGGAAGGCACTGTCAGAGCAATGAATTCCCCAACAGCTACAGTATGCAAATGTACTGGAAGCTAATGGAAGAAACATGAGGGTATAGTCCATATATCATTATGAAAACCATGATGTATTGATAATGAATTCTAAAAGGTCATGCAAGCATGATATATGGATTATGAATACTAATTTAATGGGAGAAGTTATTTAAATAGATAAGCTAAATGAGGTTTCTTTATTGTACATAACAGTGCAGAGGCTAACTTAACAGCAAAAAGAAGGAAAAAACCAAGTTGTTGGAAACGCCAGCTTTCCACTAGCAGAAAGTGGTAGACATGAGGTTCCCTGTGCATTTTCACGTAAATCAAATGTTTTGTAGCAGATTAAATCCTGTTTCTGAGCCACAAAACAAGGTTTTGATCTGGTTACCTTTTACCACTGGTCGTTTGGTTGTTTTGAGCCTAAATTAGGTGTTTGTGAGTCATTAAAAAATATGTTTGTGATACGCTTGGTTTTCCTCTGTCTGCTCTAGTATTAAGTCGGATCAGCACCATGGAGAGCGCCCTGAGAACACTCACCCTTGTACCTTGGAAAGTTGCTCTGAAAAGATTGTAGCTATATCTGGTAGTTATGTGTAACCTGGAATTACAGCAGGTACAACTGGTTCCCAATGCATGCAGAGCAAAGGTTAAAAAATGAGCTAAAATAGTAAAATGTCTATACAAATATGTCAAGTTCATCCCGCAGTGTCGTCCATTTCTGCACAACTGAGCCATATCTTGAGTGTGTTTTATTTTCTGCAGTGAAGACTGGTTAGAAAGTACTGAACATATGATGTGCATCGATGGCAGAGAAGTGCACAACAGATCTGCTGAAGTATATTTTCTTGTGGGTATTTTATGCCTTTGGTAATGAAGACACAGGAATTGAATGGAGACTGTAATACGGAATGACACCAGTGATGTTACAGTTCACGGTGAGCACCTTAAACACCTAAGCCAAAAGGAAGCACCATAATGCGGTTTTCTATAGGTGTTTCTATATCTTTTGACACATTTGAAAGCCATCCTTTTAGGCTGCCCTCCTCCACATACAGTAGGAGCCAGCTATTCAAAGCTTCTCAAACCCACAGGTGGTGACTAATGCTCGGGATATTTGGTGGTGTTCATTTAAAAAGTCAAAATGCTACTGCCCTTTTGACTCCTACTTGATTAACCAATGATCAGAAAGGTCTGTTGCTTTGGTTTGGTCCAGCTCTGTATGTATTCTACTGGGATCCTTTATAGTGACGATTAACTGTGGGTGGGCCATCTGGTCTCAGTAATATCCCACCGTCCTGAAGCTTAGTTTTAATGTTTGATGGTTTTCCTGCTCTTCTTTGACAGAACCAGGTGTACTCTAACATTTAGTGATTTTGTTCACATGTTAGTATAAGATATTTTTTTTGTCTGTTTGTCTGTGTTGTGACTCTCCCACAAATGTCATTAGTGACTCTTGAATTAACCCTATATCAGACCTTATGTCCTCGCTGGACTTTGGTCAGGACTGTGTGTGTGTGTCCATCTGAGGTCCATGTTTGTCCGGTTCCCGTGGCGATGGCATGCAATGCCTCCTCTGTTTCACACCCACTTCCTGCCAGTGAAATAGGAACTCAAAATGACCTCCACCAGGAGATGAAAATGGTCTCTCTCAATGTGTGTATGTGTGCAGGTCTCCTCCTGTTATTTTATATTGAAAATGGTACCGACTGTAGCCAAGCACAGCACAGAGCTGAACTCCACATGGTGTGCATGTGTGTGTGTGGTTGTTTTAAGCTGATGCTGCAGATACAGGTCTGTGTTTATTTGAAGAACAGCAGATGGAGCATGTTTGTCTGTAAAAAGTCTGCTTTAGTAATACCACCCATCACGTTTTTGGCTATTTTAGGACAACTTTGTTTATCAGACCTGTGGTTCCAACATGTTGGTCCTTAGATGCATTTGGCCAGGCAAGGCTAGTGGACTGGATTATGTCCCAGACAACTCCATACAGTTTTTGTGATACATTATTTGGTAGAGTATAAACTTGAAGTGCACTGTTGTGCGGGTTATGTGATGTTCTTATTCTAATGTGCATACAGTAGACTGCTTTAAAAAGCTTCATGCATACCACTTAGATATGAGTGAAGCAAATGGATCCTCTTCTGATACTGTAGAATGTCACTGTCCAAACTTTCATTCACTTAAAAACCCTTTTAAAAAATCATCTTGATTTTTGCAGCCAGTTAACTACAGCAAGAGGTTTTATAGACTAGCTCTAAATCCACAACAGAGCTCATAGTGTAACGTTACTCTCAAATAATATTGATAATAATAATTTCATGTATAAAGCACTTTTCAAAAAGGTGCACACAGTCCTTTCCAGGGGAAGATTCAGTAATAACACCCCTGACAGGACAAAGGAAACATAGCACAAAATGCTTTGAGTAAGCAAATGATTTACCATTGCCTACATTACCTGCTATGCAACTCAGTCAGCACCAGTTTGGTTAGTGATTCAGATGTAGCCTTGAGCCGCTAGCTTCCAGCCGAGATGTAGAGCGGGCTACAGAGGTCTGGTACAGTAAGCTCACTCCCCAAGTCCAGACTCGAGGGCCATCAGTTGAG